TAACAGCTGTTTCTATTACACCTTTTGGTTGGAAATTAGCTGTTGTCATAAATTAAAAAAAAAATAGTGCTGCACCCTGTTGGTAATCCTTGTAACTTTAATGCTATTGAACATCATAGAACAGAACCAACTTGTTTAATTGAAACAGCTGTTAAGATTCATTAATTCCATTTCTCATAAGGTTAACATGGGAAACTCCAGAGCCACTGGGGCGGAGCCCTTTTAAGAATTTCGAAACGGGAAATAGTTTACGTCCGATTCGCATACCTACAGAATTTACACACCAAATTTCATAACAATCGGTGAAGTCGTTCCGGAGGAGTTTGCAGACAAACACTGTGACACGAGAATTTTATATATTAGATATATGTCCGAGAACACGATAACTTGAGTAATTTTTGTCCGATTTTGATGAAATTTGGTTTGAAGGTGTAAGGCGAGATAAACTTGAATGGGTTCGCAAACCAGCATGATCGGATCATGTGAACGGGGTTTTATGGAATAAAAAATAACTTTTATAATTTTTGACCCTCTAAACACAAAATTTCCCAATTTTCTCCAGACATTTTTAAAGATTTGAAAAAAAAAAATAATTTAGTATATCAAAGAGTTTTTGTACAATTATTGGTTATGGAGAAAATTCAAAAAATTTTTATTTTAAAATTCCCATATTGTAAAATGTTGGGAGTTTGTTAGTTTATGGATATATTTTGATCAAACTTGGTAAATTTATTTATTTTATACAAAGTTGTTAATTAGGTACTTTCCTGTTAAAGGGAACATTCATTATTATCAACTAGCTGTTTGCCCGTTCTACGTACGGGAATCTAGTAGTAAGGTAGAAATCTAGTAGGTTTTAATTATATTCAGAACAGGAGTTGGTTTGCATATTTAGTGTGCATTTTTCCAGATATGATGGCAAAACTATAACTGTTAAGGAATACATATAAACCTTCTCAAATACAATATCTGACAGTTTCAAAGCCAAAACGAATGCTTTGCAATTAAATGTCACTTGATCGTGTTAGTCCATATTTTATATCAAACGATGAAAGGAATAGCTTTACAGTATAGATCTATGAGGCATACCCCTAAGGTAGGCCTGTAATTTAAAGTTACTTTTCACACTGGTTAAAAGTAGTTAAAACACTACCTCAACCTTTATTAACCTCAAACACTACTGTACACTTTATTCGGGTCGAAATTGTTATTAACAATGGTGCTCTTGTCTTTTCCACGAAAAATAAGGATATTATTGCGTTACCAACGGACATACACACACAAATACAAAATTGAGTCCACACAACATTTTTGAGTCCAGACAGAAAACGCTAAAAATTATACAGTAAGTTAAGACATCAATTAAATTTAATAAGCAATAAGGTGCAGTGTTTATAAATAAATAGTGAAAATGAAAATAGTGATGTGTTTGTATGTAAAAATTATTCTTACTGCTACCACCGGTTCTAAGGAAAAGTAGCAGTACCAAAAACCAACGTTTACATTTGAGAAAAGAACTGTAGTACTTACGACTAATTCAAACTGTCCTTCTAATCAAACTGTATTATAGGTGTTAATTAATCTGTTGGCAAATATATAAATAAATAAATACACAGGCCACAAAACATGTAACATGTAACATTAACAACGTAAAGCTTTAAAAACTTACTATGGTTTGCTAAAAAAACTTTCACTTGATGTGGTGCAGTACCGAAGTTATTAATCTCCTTTGGTTTTAAATTTTTTTTTTAAGTTTTCGTAAATCAAGGTTATTTCCCATTAATAGCATTATTTGTAAGCAGCTTTTAATGTTAACATATTAATGGCAGTTTGAAGAAACCACCTTTATCCAAACAAAGGTTTCTCATTTAAAAGATTACGTAATCTCTAAATGATAATCGGTAGGTACATATATCTAGCAAACATTCGGAGGAAATGTGACAAAAAACGCACAAATCTGGGTTTTTGTACGTTTGTAGTTTTATTTCCTAAGTAGGAAAAGTACCGATATCGTTGTCGAAATGTGAGTAAGTAGAAACCAAAAGTGACACATTGGAAAAGCGAGTTTAGCTACATCTGTTAAGTTAAACCACCGTTACGGTACGATCACAGCGAAATCAGACAGATCTTCCAAGATCGCAGCAACATCCACGATCACCCACTGCAGTTGTGATTTTTTACTTTGCACTTTACACAACTGTCCTTGAAGCGCCGTCAATGAGTGGAAATCTTTGTAAGCTACGGTATTGGTGCCGATGATTAAAAAAATGTAAGTTTCCTTGCACTAATACAACACTGATTCACGGTATTTTCCCCGGTTATCAAAACTCAAGAACAATCGTTGCACTTGCGATTAATTAAACCGGTTAAGTAAATGGTTGCGGTATTTGTAAACAACTTTTACTGTAAACATATCAGTGACAGCTAGAAGTGAGAACTAATCCAAACAGCTGATCGTTATTTCATCAAATGTAATAGTAAACGTTAGGAGAAAATTTGACGAAAATCGAACAAGATTGGGTTTTTGATGGTTCGTTATTTTGTTTTCAAAGAAGCGAGGCCATGTTTTTATAGCCAAAGACACTCTCACCAATCCAGTAAATACAGACAAATGATTAGAACCTTGATCGGTATTCTAGTTTTCTAGGAGTAGGCCGCGTAAAATGACATTTTGGCGTTACAGACGCAACCACATAATGTACAAACAAACAGACATACAGACAGAAATTGAGATAAGACTCGTTTCGGCTTTCTTAGGCTATGAAACGTAAAAATAACCAAAAACTGCATGATTCTAAGCAACGTACAGACAAATCTGTAATTTTATTTATATATATGATTGCTTTATTTTATTTTTTATTCGATATATTGATATTAACATATTGAAACTTATCAGCTGACAACTACGATAAATAAATATTATTGTTCAGTATCAACAAACAATAAATAGTAGTTTACGCAACGATTGTGTAAAGATAGTGTTAACGACACAAGTGCCTTAAAAACTTCTACGAGTGTCGTTAACACTATTTACGTGAGTTGCGTACACTACTTTACCTACGACGGTGTTTTAATTACTAAATTCACTACTCATAACTTCTAAGAGAGGTTATGTTTTTGTTTATAACCTCTAATTGCCACTGACAGTGATGCAACGAAACATTGTATTAAATACTAATTGCACCAATCAACAATGAAATTGGCCTGAACAGCTGATTAGTTGAATTTCGAATCATAACAATTTTGCTTCTCCTCTCTCAATCCTTGAACCTCATTGGTCCATTACCCGTGTTGTTATGAGTAAAACTATGCTGTTATGAGATACTTTTCAATTCTAAGAACTATACTGAAACGGCTACTTTAAAAAACGGTCGTAGGTAAAAGATATTATATTGAATTGAAATGTAACTGTTCTAAGCTAAACTAACTAACCAAACTTGCTGTAACATTTCAAAATTCCGTTTGATAGCCTATTCCCCATATGCCTTTTCTGTTATCAAACGGAATTTTGAAACGGTAACTTAGCCTTCAGCAAGTTTGGTTAGTTATGTTAGGTTAGTTTAGAATAGTTTCATTTCTAATCAAATATATAGGCTATTATTTTTGCCTAAACAAGATCTTAATCCTATTCTCTGATACAAGCTATAACTCAATAACCAGTTATTGAACCGATATAACTGAGACATATTTGCTATGTCTATTTGTCTGTCTGTCTGTAATTTAAATGCGTTTAAATATATTTAATTAGATGTAATATGGATTGTAAAGGAAAAGAAAAATACCGATATATCGAAAAGAAATCATCGATAATAATGAATGTTCCCCTTAACAGGAAAGTACCAAATAATGGATGGTTTGTGCAAGGTTTCTCATCATGACGAATATTTTAAGTATATGGTTTGTGGGGGTGTGACTTGGTTGCAAATTAGCTGTTATCATAAATTAAAAAAAATAATAGTGCTGCACCCTGTTGGTAATCCTTGTAACTTTAATGCTATTGAACATCATAGAACAGAACCAACTTGTTTAATAGAAACAGCTGTTAAGATTCATTAATTCCTTTTAAATGTGAAAAATCATAAGGTTAACATGGGAAACTCCAGAGCCACTGGGGCGGAGCCCAAAAGCCCGATCAGAATTAAAAACTACTTATTTTTTTTATTTAATGCCCAAAGAATCGGTGTACCGAATTTCAGCCTCCTAGGTAAATGGGAAGTGGGAGAATTAGTGATGAGTGAGTGAGTCAGTGAGTCAGTGAGTCAGTGAGGGCTTTGCCTTTTATATATTTACCAGCTGACCCGGCGAACTTCGTATCGCCTAAGTTATAGGTTTCCCCTAAGACAGACCGATGGAAAGAAAGTACCGTTACGTTTAATTTTCAAGATGATCTCGTTCGCATCGCTCAATCACGTCCTGGTTGAAGTTCGTTCGCTACGCTCACTCACCTTTGGGTTGGAGCTTGTTCGCTACGCTCACTCACCTTTAGGTTGGAGCTCGTTCGCTGCGCTCACTTGCCTTCAGGTTAGCTCGTTCGCTACGCTCACTCGCCTCCAGGTTGAAGTTCGTTAGCTACGCTCACTCACCTTTTGGTTGCAAATTAGCTGTTGTCATAAATGTAAAAGAAATAATAGTGCTGCACCCTGTTGGTAATCCTTGTAACTTTAATGCTATTGAACATCATAGAACAGAACCAACTTGTTTAATTGAAACAGCTGTTAAGATTCATTAATTCCATTTCTCATAAGGTTAACATGGGAAACTCCAGAGCCACTGGGGCGGAGCCCTTTTAAGAATTTCGAAACGGGAAATAGTTTACGTCCGATTCGCAAACCTACAGAATTTACACACCAAATTTCATAACGATCGGTGAAGTCGTTCCGGAGGAGTTTGCAGACAAACACTGTGACACGAGAATTTTATATATTAGATAGATTTAGATAGCATTAGTAGAAAGTAGGATTTACCAGTTTCATATATATAATAGATTTAATTGTTTTCAGAATTTTTTGCATGATTACAACAAACCTGGTTATCAATCATTATATGATGAAATGTTTTGTCGCCAATTGAAAAAACAGCTAAAGGAAGAGGAACAGAAGAAAGTTTTACAAGATAAAACGGTAAGAATTTAGACATAACCTTTTTACCCCCAGAGTCGTATCTAAAGTATTTTATGGTTACTCCAAGAACAAAGCCCCTAGTTTCTCAAAGTTAAAGCAAAAACATTTGCAGACTTAAATCCCAGGTTATGATATTTTGGAAGTCATAGTTAACATTTAAAATTCTCGTACAAAAACTGTCTATGAGAGAATAATTGGACTGGAACAAATTTAAACTGGTTTGTGGAAGACTAATCTGAAACCTACTATGCAAGGCGGGGATTTACCAGTATTGTCAGGGGAGTATACTATTGGGTCAAGTGGTTTGAAGTGTTATAGTCTTGGCCAAGAGACAGCACTGTACAGTGTACAATAAGGCATTATATCCTTTCTCGGTCAGTTCTGGCCTCAATCATGGGTCATGGGTGTTCATCTAATCGTTGCTCTTTAGGAGAGACCAACCTAAAATAAATGGTAAACCGCCTGTTTGGAATTATGACGGTATTGCTTGATTTTACAGTGTATGAGTTGTGCATATAAAATACTGCGAGTTCTTACTTGATATGTTTTATAGAAAGATTTATATTTATCTGACAATCTCAAATGTATTATTTTGTATTCCTTATGACAAATTAATCTTTTGAATCTTGCCTATCTTAGTGGTCCACCAAAAACTTTTTTATAATAGTTTACATGTGTGGACTTTTCAACATTGCATTATATGATATGTTGGTGACTCTACCTGTCACAACAGACAGCTGCATCTACGCTGACGACATAACAATTTGGAGTTCTAACAAAGACCCAATGCAAGCAACACAGCAAGTGCAAGTCACCTTAAACGCCCTAAATGCATGGACAGAAAAGTGGAACATGTCAATCTCCTCAACAAAAACGGAGTGTGCCTTTTTTACGAGAAGATACTCATTAAAACACTTCATGCCAGAACTACAGTGCAAGGGAAAACCGGTACCCTACAACCCACATCCTACACTTCTAGGAATAACGCTAGACCCCAAACTTTTGTGGAAAGACCACATCCAACAGGTTGCAGGACAGTGCACAAAAAGATTAAACCTACTTAAGGCTGTTGCTAGCAGATCATGGGGAGCCGATTAGTCTTTCAAACACTATACAACACGTTTTTAGGTTCAGCTGGCAACACAAATAGGTGCCCTAGAGAAAGTAGTACCCGGTCCGTATCACTCCGCTATTTTTCCTCGGCAAGAAATGTGCTCCGCGACTTGAGAATATAGTTCCGTATGATTTTGTAATTTGAAGTGGTTTCCGCGCCTAAAAAAAATGCTCTAAAGGTATTTTCTTGTTTATTAAGATCGTATGAATGTTTTAAAATCGTTTAAAGGAAAAGTCCAGAAAGTTCAGAAATACCGAAACGATAAACACAAAATGAGAGGTTGAATCGTAGTTATAATAGTCAATCACCTGCTCATAGTATTATTATCTTTAAGTGTTGCCAACCTATTTCCAAGTATACACGGATTACGTGCATAATAGAACCACGCTGTTTTGTGTTGTTTCGTTGGAATCCTGATGTGCGCCAAAGTATAAACATAAACCGTACCACAAAGTATAAATATGCAGCAATTAGCAGCTTTCTGTACTACAAACAGTACAAGGAAGCCAACTTTATCGGGTGACTGTAGGAAAAATTATTTAGAGGAACTTGTTTGGAATGATTTGTTACAAATTTAATTTAATTTATTACAATAATATGCATTTAATTTATTTCCATTTTTAGTTGAAGTTAAAGTAATATATTATTGTTATTTATTCTAATAGTTTATTTATTTTTGTTACTGTTGAATTTTTACAGGTATTTGTGTCTTTGTTGTCTTTTTTGTTATTAACCACTCAAGAGACAATTAAGGACTCAAAAAACTGCATGCTACTGATTTAAACTGACAAAACTGTATAAGAAACAATATTTTTAGTGCAGACAAACCATTTGTGGTTTTTGCACTTTTGTAACCTATGTATTGGTAATTATTGTGTAAATAAATTTCTTGATTGATTGATTGGAGTTTTTTCTTAGGGTTAGGTTATTACTGGCATGGAAGTGAGAACACAACAGAGTTATAGAACTAACTTTATTTTACAATAAATTATTAGAAAAACTCTTGAACATGAATCATAAGCCCCAAAAACACTAAACTATCTTGTTACTTGGCAACAACTTCCATTAATATTAACTAGTGTCCCTGTTGCTTGAACTCGAGCAATTGCTAAGTATTACAGGCATTATTTTAAAACAAATAACAGTCATAATTTCTGATGACATTACAATATTTGACTCAAAGATTATGGAAATACTCAAGATGTACATCGATATAATCAGATCGATATAATCAACATTTATTGTAAATATCATCTTATAATTTTTCAAAAGCTGATCTTCTTTTTTAGTGTTTTCTACAGTTACTAAAGCCTTACTCATATCCGCATTAGGTTGTCCAAATTCTAAAAAAACATTATTTCTATTTCTTCTCCTTGGTGGTGTTCTATGACTTACCAATGTTTCCATAGTTTGCAAATCAGCTCTTTCAATGATTACTAAGAAATGCAGAACAGTGTTAATTCAGTTTTCTTTTTAGTACAGTATATCAAATTATCCAGGCTCTCTCGCTTTTTTCAATTGTAATATTTACGCCGACCCAAATTCAAATAGAAAATATTTCATTTCAACCAAGTCGGTAAATGTTTGTAGCAAACTATTAAACTAGCAAACTTATTGACTGTTTACAATTGACATATGTTCTTCTTCTCACTTTAAATTTCTGACAACAGCTGGAGTTTCATAACAATGATTGTTTCCCATGTTAAGCCCTCCATACACGGGCGAGCATGTTTGCGAGCATGCTCGTGACGGTGTTGGTGACGAACATGCTCGCCCGTGTGTGGGATCCGTCGCGGCAAGCATGTTGGGCTCGGCGCTCGGCTCGTCGGACTTGGCGAACCCGGACACGAACATGCTCGCGAACATGCTCGCCCGTGTATGGAGGGCGACCATATGTTCGAGAGCATGTTTGCTGCTGCAACTTGGGTAGAGATAGGCTAAATGATTCCATTGATGTAGCCACTACTATGATTCCAGTTACACTCGTGGACTCATTAGAAGTAACCGTCCCGATTCCAAACAATTACTTCGTTACCGCCATTACAAAGTAGCCGCAATAGACAGATTGCACTTGTAATCATAATGGTGTTGATGTATTCCAGTTGCAGTAATAGATTTAGAATCAATGTTTACAGAAGCTAAATAAATATCTATTTGTGTTTGTAACGCAATAAATACAAATTTCTATGAGTTTCCAAAATAGAGGATTCATCAATTAAAATTTGTATATTATTACACAAATGTGTACAACCAATTCTGTAGTAATTTGTCACAATTAAATAGTTCTAAGAAAGGCATGAATAAGCAAAACTACGAGAAATGTTATTGCACAACGATGTAATTTTAACCAACATTATTTTCGAACCATAGCGGATGAATTTAATCTGATAACTTAAGGCCTGGCACACACGGTCTACAAAATCGGCCAAAAATAAATCGCCCCTGATTTATGTCTAAGAAATAATGCGTATGTTGCAAAAAAACTAAATGCTGTAATTGCAGCAAAAAAGCAGGAGTAGGCCAAATACACATAACTTGACCGACACAGATCACAAGAGAAGTAAGAATAGGCCTAGGAACCGCTACCGAGCGACGAGCATGTTCGCGAGCATGCTCGTCCTTCTCTTGGAACCGCCAAGCATGTTCGCGAGCATGCTCGTCCTTCTCTTGGAACCGCCAAGCATGTTCGCGAGCATGCTCGTCCGTCTGTTGACAACGCCGAGCATGTTCGCGAACATGCTCGTCCGTGTATGGGGGGCTTTAATCTTATGGAGAAATATGAAACTTTAAAGGGTACCAGGACCTCACTCCCTGATTATTTCCCTAACAAGAAAGTTTCCTGCACAACTTCACGTCAAGCTCTTTCCAATGACACATTCTCTTTCCATTGACATGTCAATCGGCTCAGTAGTTTCGGAGGAGTAATTGTCACAAAAAACTTGCGTATTAAATAAGTAATAGATATAGATTTAAATTAAAATTCCAAACAAATGTTATTGTACAGACCAAATATAAAAAAATATTTCTCGACACCCTCTATTAATTTTTATATTTTTACAAATTAAAATTTAAACCATAAAATAAACACTTTGACCATGGAAAATGTTGAGAACATATTTTCATGGACTAAGTGTTTCTTTTATCGTTTAAAATTTAATTTGTAAAAGTGTAAAAATTACGAGAGGGTGTCTAGAAATAATTTTTTTACTAACATATGTTTGTAATTTAAAATTTTGGTATCCCTTTCCTTTGTTGCAGTTACTTTTGAAAGCTACCGTATCCTCAGTGTCACTGTTTTTACGTCTCTTTTCCTCTGCTAGTAACCCTGAAGTTAAATTTGACAAGGTTCTATCTGTTTTAGCTGTAGACTCCTAGGCTGTTACGAAAAGGTTTGAACTTATCTGGCAAGGATGCCAAAGTCATAGACATCAACATGTCATCGTCAATGTTTTGAATTAAACTTTTCAATTTAATTGCTATGTTTTGCTAGCTAGCAATGAAACTAGTCACATCTGAATTTTGTTCTAGTTTAAAATTGAAAAACTCTTGTAGTAAGTTACTTTTTTGTTGTTCAGCCTGTCTTTCGAATATTTGGCATAGCTTAGTATACATAGCTAGTGAAGTCTCATCATTCTAAATGTGAACCAAATACTTTTTGTCTATGGATGTAACAATAAGTGTTTGTGCTGTTGTGTCTTCTTCTTCCACTTTGTCCTTTTATCTTCAGTTTCTTGGTCTTCATACTTTTCTTTTCCTGTTACTTTTCTTGTCCTGTTATATGCCATGTGATTTTAAATAACTGTTGTTTGCATTTTTATTTCTGAAAACAGCTGGTATTCATGAAACGAACGAGATAAATAGATCTTGTAACGCACTGAAGTAATAAACTTTTACTTTATTACTTTATTACCTCAGGATCTCGTATAAAAATATTTGCTTCTAGCGCCACAGGAGGCACATCAACTTAGTAGTCTAACATCAACAGAGAGCGCTAGGGTTATTCGTTGATATGTTGCAAGCTAACCTAAAAATTGCATTTTAGTGTGGTGAACTGTGTGTATACTGTTTAATGAGTTTTTTTTAAGTTTGTTGTCGTCTGACGAGGACAACCCTGATGACTCTCAAGTCCCTGACAATCCTGCTAAGGTGTACAATATGCATAAACGACCAAAACTGATTGTTGTGAATGCCAGCAATAGTGCTTTCTTGGAACAACTGGTTACAGAAGGATTAGATGGGCCGGTCCCTAGTAGTGCATTATCCGAAAGTAGTGACGATTAGCAGGAACTATGTGATTTCACAACACAGCCCCTATGCCTAATTAACAACATGCCAGTTTTTTTGTTTTGATTTAACCTCAAAATTTGACACATATGAACACATTATCGCACTACAGCCAAATAGGTTCATCTTCAAAGATATTCCACCACACCTTAACCCCTTCTAGCTAAAAAAATCCAGCTGTAAGTAAATGCAGCAATTAGCTACTTTGCGTGCTATAATCAGTGCAAGGAAGCCCACTTTGTCAGGTAACTGTAGGAAAAAGTAATGTTGAGTTATTAAACACTTCATTATGTGTTAAGCCTGTGGTGCAGAATAAATCTTACATACATCTTAATTATTGGTCGATGTTATTTCAGAGACAAGAAGTGCTTATGGAAATTCAGTACAAAAAAGAAGCATTAAAACAGGAACTCAAGGGACGTAAAAATTCAGAAATTCTTATGGAAGAGGAGGATGATTTTATTGCCAGGTTTGGCTGTTTCTTTTAATTATTTTCTTTATCATAGAATTCGGTAATATATTGAAAATGTATCCTGTTTTAATAGATTAAAAATTTGTTCTTAGATAACATTATTTAAAAATTAAATTTTTATTAAAAATTGCTAATTTTGGGCTCTTTTACATAAGGTAGTCAAGTATATTATGTGTTTCATTAGAATGTACTGTACCAAAGAATCAGAAGTTAGTTCCACTTTTGTCAACTACCATTTTCAGTCTTATCCGCCAGTGGGACCAGCCATTGGGAAAGCGGGGATTGAGCCCTGCATTTTTGAATTTTCATGACAGTGAACAAGTCTTTTAACTAAGTATGTTTTGTATGGGATCAGGAAAATCAGAACAGTTATGAACAGCATAGAGCTTAATTCATTATTAAATTCTGTTGTTTCTCTTTTTACGTAATTGTATGTAGTTGTCATTACAGAAAATTATCACTGGTGTTGCTGTAATGATAGGAGATGATCATTGGTGTTTGCCATGATTCTGATGTAAATCAGTAATCGAAATTACAAGTTTTAAGGTGGATTAAAAATAAAGTATATGGTTGTGAAAATCGGATGATATTTCCTTTGACACGATGGTTTCAGAATAAAAACGCTAAGATGCAAATTAAATTAAACTAGAGGACCCATGCTGCTCCGCAGCGTTCAAATAAATATAATATCTGAGAAATAATCAAATTTCTGATATCTGATTGAGTAATCCAGTATCTTGAGCTTAACTGATTAAAATTATCAATAGCTCAAATTAAAGCCTATAATTAACTGATTATTTTAAGTCTAAAATATATAAAAAAACAAAAACAATGCTGGAGAGATTGATAATCATAGAAAAACCTTATGAAAAATAATTTTTATGTTGGTTGTTCACCTTGCGTTTGCTTGAAACTCGTCTGATTTGATTCTAAAAGCTTAAATGAAAACAGGTATTTCACTGAAGGTTCTTAGACCAAAATATATAGGATTATATAATTATAACTGGTGAAATACATCTTAAATTGAAGTAAGAATTCAAAAATGAATTAAAATATTTTTTTTTTGTCGAGTAATACAGTAGGTAAATATATGCCGAAGATTGATGGCAAATATGTGCGTGCATACCTTCAATTTGAGACCACAATCATGAAAATCGGTCGGGTAAAAGAGCCAAACGATCCCGGAAACGGAAAATCAAATTTAACTCTCATAAGAAATACATGGGGAGAAAATTTTGTTTACATATAAGCCAAGTGGTATTATAGATAAATATATGCTGATGCTTGATGGAAAATTTGTGCGTGCATACCTTCAATTCGAGACCCCAATCATGAAAATCGGTTATGTAGAAGAGCCAAACGAACTCGGCAAAGAAAAAACCAATTTTAACTCCCATAAGAAATACATAGGGAGCAAATTTCGTTTACGTATAAGCCGAGTGGGATTATAGATAAATATATACCGATGCTTGATGACAAATCTGTGCGTGCATAGCTTTAATTTGAGACCTCAATCATGAAAATCGGTTGGGTAGAAGAGCCAAACGAACTCGGTAAAGAAAACCCAAATTTAACTCCCATAAGAAATACATGGGGAGCAAATTTCGATTATGTATAAGTCGAGTGGGATTATAGATAAATACATACCGATGCTTGATGGCACATCTGTGCGTGCACGCACAGCTTCAATTTGAGACCTCAATCATGAAAATCGGTCGGGTAGAAGAGCCAAACGAACTCGGCAAAGAAAACCCAAATTTAACTCCCATAAGAAATACATGGGGAGCAAATTTCGTTTAAGTATAAGCCGAGTGGGATTATAGATAAATATATACCGATGCTTGATGGCATATCTGTGCGTGCATAGCTTCAATTTGAGACCTCAATCATGAAAATCGGTCGGGTAGAAGTGTCAAACGAACTCGGAAAAGAAAAACAAAGTTTTTTAAATATATAAGAAACCGATCATCTAACTTGTGTTATGTTGTATCAGTTAATATCATGTTATATGTTCAGGTTTGAACAAGACCATCAGCCAGTTCCAAGGAAATCTTTGATAACTGCGGACTTGTTGGAAAGTGTTGATAGTAATGGGGTAAGTATTGCAAAAACATTACCCATGATAGAGTAAATAGGATGGCTATTAATAAAGGGTGATTTTTTTATTGGTGCGGTTGATTGATTGATTGATTCTGTAGGGGCGGACCTTGTCCTGTTGCATGTCAGCCACTGATGGGCTTTTCGCGCTCCCCACATGGTACTTCAGAGTCCGTCAAACATGAGTTGCTTGGATAAGTTAACTATTGGTGCGGTTTTTAAAACTAAATAAAAAAATGAAAAACAACCTGCATTGACATAAAAATGCATTTATTTGAACTACAGTGTCATGACATTAACGTTTAAAAATGATTTCTGGCATATGGGCTCCATTCCGTTCGCGTAGAAAGCCCAATCGAGAAGTCCAATTTTCGAATACACTTTCCAGCAGCTGTGGTTGAATTCCGCCAATAACTCGACGAATGTTAGCTTCCAAGTCATATAAATCCTAAGATTTATTGTTATGATAAACACAAAATCCCAACTTCAGTTCAACCTAGTTTAACTATCAGTTTAAATAAATTGGTGTAAATACCTGCTTCTATGTAATCCAAATTGTTGCAAATAGTTGAAATATGATTTCTGAGAGCTCATTTTGGTATCTCATGTGTATGTGTTCTGTATAAGTTGGTTGTCATGGATACCAGATGATGTTTGTTGAAAGTTATGTTGTGTTTTTGTACCAAGTAAAACTTGTACCTAATAATACACTTTTCTCTTTATTATTCTACACAATTAAAATCCTTTTACAACAGGTTATGAGCCCAGGTTGTTTTATTCAGTGGTTCATTTAACGAATACCAACTTCAGAAGTTTGTAACAACAATATGACTCAAATTCATTACCAATTGAACGACTTAACACATTGACTGCTACTGAAATATGGATAAACGTACCCAAGTGCTGAAATTACTTTAGTGATTATTTTCATAGATTACACCACAGGAATGTTAAATATAATTATCTAAATTGGTTTCCATGGCAAACAAACTTTTTTTATGACGTCATAAGATTGAGCGGGAATTCCCGCGCTCAGCATTTGGGCAAGGTATTACAAAAATAATTACACTATTATTGCTGTAAACACATACCTTTTACATATAATGAAGAAATATAATGTCCCAGTGTGAGATTGGCGACTTGATGACACTCAGTAGCTACGAATAGTGACGTCACTTTGTGCGGGAATTCCCGCGCTCCAGCAACGATGTTGGTGATAAGTCATTATGTATTATTTTTGGTTTTGAAAGCAATAAAAATCAATGTTTTGCACTAAAAGTATTACAAAAGAAAACTTAAAAATATTTATTTACAAATATATACAACCCTTCCACCCTCCTTCAATAGTCTCAATTTTACTGTAAGTGTGCATGGTGCTTGTCAAAGCAAGCTAACGCACACAACGGAGGCTCCCCTTCACATTGGCCACACATATACACTGTTTCTTTACGTCGTCCTTCTTTCAGGCACTGACGGCATCTTTTTCCAAGCAGACGTCCTTTTTTATCTAGTTTGGTCGTCTTGGATAGAACATGAAGGGGGTTGCGAGGAGGCCGTTGTGGTGGAGGCACATCTTTGGGAGGCAAGAGCGCTTCAATAACTCTGAGACGAAAATCATACAGCTGCAACGTGTTGTCTTCGTTGGCGACGTTGTATAGCTTGTGCGCATTTACCATGATCATCTGGATAAGATGGATGAATATTTTCTTGTACCACCGCAAAGATTTGTGATCACTGGGGTAGTAGGAGAGCATTTGATCACTCCTATCTACCCCTTTCATATTGGCATTGTACTGAACAATTGCCAACGGTTTCTCTCGTTGGACATTACGTCGATTAGACGACATAACCATCGTATTGTCATGCTCCGTGGAGAGGAAAGAGACAACTCGTTTGTCCTTCCACTTAGCGACCATGACACCTTCAGCATACCGAGCGACTGTCTCTCCTTTTTTCAACTTGGCAGCTTTGATGTCTTCTGGGAGATACTTCCGGTCCATTCGAAGGGTTCCGGTGCAGTAAGTCTTTTTGGACAAGAGCTTTGAAGCAAGCGGAAAGCTGTTGTAAAAGTTGTCCAGATAGAGTGCGTGTCCGACATTCAACTTTCCTTTCATAAGGTGCATCACGACTTTTATGGCATGTCCTTTACCTCCTAGCTGTCCTTGACCTCCAGAGTAGATAGTAAAACAAACCACAAGGCCGTTAGGTTCACAAAGGATTATAGATTTATGCCGTATTTGTGGCATTTCCCTTTGATGTACTGTCGGAACAGTAAACGCCCCCTCCAGAGCACCATTCCCTCATCAAGTGACAACTCTCTACAAGGGTAGTATATTTCGTCCATCTTGTTGTTGAAATAGTCTATCAACATTTGAACTTTTATAAGTTTGTTGTCCGTTCCCTCGTTCCTGCCATCATTTTCCTCTGCGTTTCTATTGAAGTGAAGACACCGCAAAATCAGTAGGAATCTGTCCCTGCTCATTTGGTCCCGAAAACACTTTAGGTCAAACAAATATTGTGTTTTCCAGTAATCTTGGTATCGATTCAGTCTGATCGTTCCCATGTGTAAGATTAGGCCTATAAACACTTTCAGTTCATCAATTGTTAGTTCTTTCCACTTATTTATGCGTGAATGTTCAGTCAAACTAGGTTTATTGAACACCTCAAACGCATAAATGTTTGTTTCGCAAACAATATTTTCTAGCAAAATATCATCTAACATCATTAGGAACCAATCGATAGGTTTATTTTGACCTGGAACAGGTATCTTAAATCGGTTTTCACCTTCAAACCCAAATCTTCTAAACCCTTGAGTAAAAGGGGACCACGTGGGGTTGTATGATTCATCTATTTCGTCATCTGACTCACTCTCCTCACCACTCAGTTCAGCGTCACTGTCGTCATAGGCTTCATCATCACTGTCACTCGGAAAGTTTATACTTTGCCTAGATGTAGAGGCAGCCATTTTCCACTCAATTGCAATGAAAAATAAAGAACTATGTAAAGTTAAATGTATAACTTCGGTGGGAAAATCACACTCAAAACAACGCACTACCGAAAAATATAAAAAGGCGCCAACCGAAAACTGAGACCACGCGGGTTTGAGGTTAGGTCCAATACACAGTGCTACGCACGGCAGAACGTTCCCGGGGCAGTGCTAGCCGGTTACTGAATCATCCAACAATCAAAACACCAAGCGCGGGAAGTCCCGCGCGCAGCCCCGCGGCGCAGGTTGGGCGTGCGGGATTTCTCGCGCGTAGCGCGCAATGTGTTAAAGGTTGTGAGAATTTTAATACATGGAAGTTTGCACTACAAGCTTACCTGGAAGATTTGGATTTGTGGGACTGTGTATCTGGTGTAGAAAAGGATAAGAAAAAGGACACTAAATGTCGGTCAAAGCTGATCTTATTGCATTATGTTAAGCCTCCGAATCACTTTAGTTAATTAAAAATGGTTTAAATACCTTAACTGTCAGGTGATCCTTGGAGTAGTTTACACTACTGCAGTTTCAGCCTTCAGGGGGCTTTCTTCAGGTGTCAAAGGAGGTCAAACGTTGTCATTCATACGAATTCGTCACATTTAAACTACGAGAACACAAATACGAATACGGACACGAACACGAACATAAAAAACGAATACACACGTAAGAGTCACAAACATTTCCCATGGGTTGATTTATGTGCGACGCGTGCGAGGAGCTAGCCTAGACTAGCGTTATCAAGGTTGCAGTCCGTTGTCCACCCCCTCCCTTATCTTTTGTTGATGATAGTGGAGCCGACCGTTCTGCCAACTTTAATGCTGATTCGTATATAATGTTCGATTTGAAACCTCTTTGTTCATTTAATACATTCTGGGGTTCTTTTTTGACGGCCTTATATATTTCAAACTCTTCCATAGTGTCCATGAATCGGCCTTTATTGCACTTATGGAGAATTTCGAGATTGTCGTGAATGGCGGAGTAACTGTGGTTATTATCAATTAAATGGTTGGCGTAGGAAGATGTAGATTTAGTATTATGTTTGCCTGGTAAATGTTCTTTAAATCTGATGTTAAAAGATCTGGCAGTTTGACCAATATAAAAGCTGGGGCAGCTGCTACAATTTAATTTATAAACTCCTGTTTTTTGCATGATATTTGTGTTATTGGAGGGATTCTTACTGTCCTTTAATATGTTAGCAAGTCTGTCTGATGTTTTGAAGGAAACAGTGATATTATTCTTTGAGAGCTCACGCTGTACTGTGTTATTCAATACATGACCATACTCGATAGCAACATACTGCTGTTCTGGCTTATGGGTTCTGTTTTCCCTATGTAACTGTTTATAAATCAGCCGGTCGACCATCTCGATCTTTATGTCTACACACGGCCGCGAGGGATGATCAGAATATTGCCACGATCACGGTATAAGATGATAATGTCCACACGACCACGGGAAACACGAAGAATTCTGCCGCAATCGTGAAAGACGATGATGATCTCCAAACGACTGCGGGACATGATTAACATTTTGCCGCAATCGCGGGAGACGATTACGATGTCTACACGGCTGCGAGGGATTATCAGAAGTTTACCGCCATCACAAGCAAATACAACCACCAATCTTTTTTATTTTCCAAAATTTTGGCGCCCCAAAGAAAACACCAATTGCCTCGCGCCCTAGGCAAGTGCCTACCGTGCCTATTCGGTAAATCGGCCCTGGAATCTTCAGTCAATAAAGTCACGGCGGATGCAATAAAAACAAAGTTATTGGAAGATGTGTCTCCAGTACAACGTGATATGACTTTTGCAGGAACGGATTCTGCATTGTATGGTTCCAGTTCGAGAGGGACTGCATGTATGCTCAACGTGTGGATCCAACCGACGCGCGGGTCATCTATCGGAGATCTCAAGACGCTCTCCATTGTCGAAGGCACTATTTGTGATATTTAGTTGTAGTAGTGGTGGTCGTCAACGTTTGAATTCCCACCGTGTATATCGTTACGTGGCTAATTGGTAACA